TTCTTTCTTCCATCTCTTGTAGTCTGTTGTTTATGCTTACCTCTGTAGTTCCTGTTTTCTTCCCTAGATTCTTCCTCTCCATTATTTCCTCCATTTGTGTTTTCTTTAATTTTTCCAATTCTATCTTCAGGTCTTGAGTTGTTTTGTTTACTTCCTTCACCTGTCTGATTGTACTTTCCTGTTTTTCTTTTTGTTCCTTCAACTCTGTTTCTTTTATTTCATTCATTGCTTTAAGCATTTCCTTTCTAAAGGCCATAAACTGTTTGGCTGCAGCTTCCTCTATTTCTTTACGGATGGCAATATTCTGTTTGAGTTTATCTTCCTCTATGTCTTTAGGTATCTTATTTGTTTCCTCTGTTATCATCTTCACGAGCATAGTTGTTAGGTCATCTTCTTGGATTTCAGTTATGCTGGGGTGTCCAGAGCTACTTGCCCCTGGGTAACTGGGTTCTGGAGATGCCATATTGCTCTGTCTTTTGTTGCTTGAGCTTTTATGCTGGCCTCTACCCATTGTGCTATCTTAGGTGTTTGGGGTTATTGTCTGGTGGTTCCTGGGGATCCTGTGGTAGCAAGAATCCTCTTTGCAGAAAGCTGTTTTTTTTTTTTTTTCCTGAAGGAAGTCTTCTCAGCTTTTTGGGTATAGTCCCTGAATGGCTGGAATTTTTTCAGGAGTTGCTGCTGCTCACCTCAGGGATAGAGACCTGAGTGATAACCGTGGTCTTTGTTAGTTGAGAGGGTTCTCCTCTCACCCAGGGGAGTCCTGAGGACAGCTGCCCTGTTTCTGGGTTTCTTGCTGTAAATTTAATGATCAGCTGCTGTGACCCAGTTGGACATCTGGTGCGCAGCAACTGTTTGTGCCTGTGTCTGGAGCACAGCTGAGTGATGGCAGCTTGGCCCTTCTGGTCTTTGCTAGACTTTTTCCAGGGAAGGATTGGGTGATTTAAGTCAGTACAGTTTCCTTCCTTCCCTGTGGATTCTCTGGAGACAGGGACTCCCAGTCTCTTTTTTGGCCCTGGTGCACACTGCTCAGTCTCCACCATCTGGTTGGCCGCAGAAACTGCCTGTGTCTGGAGCACAGCTGAGTGATGGCGGCTCAGTCTCCACCAGCTGTCTGGCGTGCAGAAACTGCCTGTGTCTGCCTTTCCAGCCTTTGGGAGCCTGGGTGTCTGCCTAAACTGGGTAATTTTTCTGAGACCTTTTAGGAGTGGGGGTGTCGGCTGAGTGCTCTGAGATCAGACCAGCCGTTTCCCTCTCTGTGTGTTTGCACCGGACAGTGAAACTCATTCACTGGTGCCCTGGTGCCTACAGTTCTATCTCAGGCAGCGTATCAGGAGCGCAGGCAGGCAGGGCTCTGTGCTGGAGCCTGGGTCCCCGGCTCTGGCTCTGGGCTGGCTCCTGGGGCGCCTGTGGAACCCGAGTCTTTTTCAGGGGATGTCTGGGTGACCTAAGGTCCGTCCCAATCGTTTCCTGTACCGTGGGGTTATCTCTTGACTGAAAATTCCAGTCTCTGATATTGTGGTGCGCATGATTCAGTCTGGAACCATGACCAGAGACACTGGCTTGTGGCTCTGGGATGGGGCTGGGGCTGGCGGCCGGCAGCCAAGTGTCTGGCGGAACCGGGATCTCTTCCGAGGTTTAGCTGGGTGTGTTAAAAGCTGATTGAATCCTCCACCGTGGGGTATCCTCTCACCTGGGAAACACAATGACTGTTTTTTATGGCCAGGAGTTCTGATTGCTGGTCACTGTGCTGATCCTGCTGCTGCTGCTCAGAATGAGAGTCCTCCAGGCACTGCCATCTTGCCCCGCCTCGCGGGTTTGATTTTAGTCTGTGTCTTTTTATTGGAGAATTGAGTCCATTAATGTTGAGAGAGATTAATGACCAGTGGCTGTTAGATCTTTTGATTTTGATGTTGCCTGTGGTCATAAGGTTGTGTGTTTGGTTGCTTTTTGTTTTACTGTAGTGAAGTTAATTATTTCCTGTGTTTTCTTGAAAGTAGCTAGTTTTCTTGGGTTGTATTTTCCCCTTCTAGTGTCTTCTGTAACACTGGATTTGTGTGTAGGTATTGTTGAAATTTGTTTTTGTCATTGAATATCTTGTTTTCTCCGTCTATGAGGACTGAGAGTTTTGCTGGTGTAGTAGCCTGGGCTGACATCTGTGTTCTCTTAGGGTCTGCATGATATCTGTCCAGGCCCTTCTGGCTTTCATAGTCTCTGTTGAAAAGTCAGGTGTGATTCTAATGGGTTTGCCATTATATGTTACTTGGCCTTTTTCCCTTGCAGCTTTTAGTATCTTTTCTTTGTTCTGTATACTTCCTGTTTTGCCTATTATGTGGCGGGAGGATTTTCTTTTCTGGTCTAATTTTGGGTGTTCTTTAGACTTCTTGAATTCTTATTGGTCTCCCCTTTAAGTTGGGGAAATTTACTTCAATGATTTTGTTGAAGATATTTTCTGGTCCTTGGAGCAGGGAATCTTCTTTTTCCTCTACACCTATTATTTTTAGGTTTTGTCTTTTTATGTTGTCTTGAATTTCTTGGATGGTCTGTGTCAGGAATTTTTTAGATTTAACATTTTCTTTGACAGATACATCTATTTTTTCCATTGTATCTTGCACACCTGAGATTCTTTCTTCCACGTCTTGTAGTCTATTGGGTATGCTAACCTCTGTGGTTCCTGTTTTCTTCCCTAGATTATTTCTTTCCACAATTTCCTCCATTTTTGTTTTCTTTAAGTTTTCCAATTCTATCTTCAGGTCTTGAGCCATTTTGTTGATTTCCTTCACTTGTCTGACTGTATTTTCCTGTTTTTCCCTCAATTCCCTCAGCTGTTTGTTTGAAAAATCCTCTTTTTCTTTTATTTCATTCAGTGATTTAAGCATTTTCTCTCTATAGGCTACTAACTGTTTGGCTGCAACTTCCTCTATTTCTTTACGGTTGGCCATAAACTGTTTGTTTTTTATCTTCCTCTCTTTCTTTACACATTTTATTTGTTTCCTCTGTTGTCTTCTTCATGATCATAGATGCTAGGTCCTCTTCTTGCATTTCAATTATGCTGGGGTGTCTAGGGCTACCTGTCCCTGGATAACTGGGTTCTGGATTGCCATATTGCTCTGGCTTTTGTTGGTTGAACTTTTATGCTGGCCTCTACCCATTGGGTTATCTTAGGTTTTTGAAGTTGGTTTCTGGTTTTTCCTGGAATCCTGTGGTGAAGAGAATCCCTTTGGCAAGAAGATGGTTTTTCCTGAAGGAAGCCTTCTCAGCTTTTTGGGTATAGTCACTGGATGGCTGGTGTTTTTCAGGAGTTGCCCCTGCTCACCTCAGGCGTAGAGACCTGAATGGTAACTGTGGTCCTTATTAGTCGAGAGGGCTCTCTTCTCACCAGGAGAAGTCCTGAAGACAGCTGCCCAGTTTCTTGCTGTGAATTTAGTGATCTGCTGCTGTAACCTGTGTGTCCTGTGGTTTGGTCAGTTTTGTTAGGGATAAGTGGTTGCCTCGTGGAGCAGTATCTGGGGGTTGATCTCAGAGTTCCCCATCTTTTGAAGGTCTGAGGTTGGGGCTCTGTGCCCCAGTACCCAAGCAGTAATCTGTGGCGGGTGAGTACTGCTTTCCTGGTAACAGCTGGCTATCTGGTGCACAGCAGGTCCCTGGGTTGGGCTAGTCTGTGGGACCTTTTCCAGGGATATACTGGGTGGCCTAAGTCCGTCCCCTTTGCTTAGTTCCCTGTGAGGATTTCTCCAGACAGTGATATCAAGTCTCTGGTGTGCTGGGGCACACAGTTCTGTCTGTGAGGAATAGCTGGTGCAAAGCAGGTGCTGCTAGTCTGCAGGAGCTGGGTGCCCAAGTACTCTTTGTGCTTCCGGCCTGGGACCAGTTTGGTGATGGGGCTCATACCCGCCGGTCTGTGAGAGACTTTCCCCAGGTAAAGCCTGGGTTGTCCAAGTCAGTACTGTTTCCTTCCTTTCCTGTGGGGCCCTCTCCTGACAGGAACTCCCTATCTCTGTTGCACTAGGGCGCACAGCTCCATCTGTGCTAGAGAGCTGGGCGCAGCCACTCTGTGCTGCCTGTGGGAGGCCAGTTCAGTGATGGCGGCAGGTACCCGCGGTCTGTGAGACTTTTTCCAGGGAAAGACTGGGTGACCTGTGGCCAGTTCTGCTGCTTTCCTTCCCTGTGGGTTTTTCTCGAGACTGGGACTCCCCATCTCTGGTGTTTTTGTGCCCACTGATCAGCCTGGGAAGATGTTCAGGACACGCAGGCATGTGGCTCTGGTCTGGGGACCTAGTGCCTGAGCGACCCAGAATCTCTTCCGGGTTCTGGCTGGGTGGTCTGAGCTTAGACACACCTGATTCCCATGCCATGGGGGTTTCCTCTCACCTGGGAAACACCATCGCTGTTGTTTTAGGGCTCAAAGTTCAGTCTTTTGGTCGCTGCATGGAAAATGTTGTCCTGCTTCTTAGATACAGTGTTCTCCTGGTACTGCCATCTTGGCCTCCCCTCCTGCATACTCTGGATTTTATTCTTTGAGAGATTTTGAGCTCCATCTTTAGGAAGCTCCTCACCTTGAAAGAACTTTGAAAGATTGGGTTAGAGCACGGAGTTGTTCCACTACCATCCAGTGGTTCTGGGATGTAGAACAAGCCAACATTTCACAGCTTTGGGAACTTGCTATGTAGCCTTCGCTTAGAGGCCAAGACCCCAGTGGGTCCACATGTCTACCCCGTAGGGTTACACAAAAAGTACTTTATCCACTGACCTGTCTATATCCTATGTCCACTAATTGTTTATCCCTTTTAAAGAAAGGTAACATTCTTCCATATAGAATCCATGGTGAACTCTTCTATTAGCTTAAACTGGGAAACTAAACATGTTACTGCAATGCAGTATAGTTGTATGTGTGCACACATGTATTTCAGCATGTTCAGGGGTTTGTTTGTATGTCTGTGTGCATGCGTGATTGTGCACAATCATGTTCATAATTCCTCTGAACACAATCTTCTACAAAACAGGAACTGGAAGTATTGGAGAAAAGACTTCAGCCTCCACTGAAGAGAATAATGCTGGACACCCAGGTAAGGGACTTGGCAGAAAAGATGCACCATCATACTGATGTCATTGAGATGAGGAAGGAACCTAGGCAGGGAGAAGAAGGAAGATCTAAGTGTGTACAATGTGCCTGTGTGCCATCATGACAGGAGGGGGTTATGTGGTATGTGGATACCCACTTAAGTAGTTACATAGAGCTTTGAGTGATGACTTCAGGGACCTGTAGCTCAGGAGAGATTCCTCCTCATAGTTGTACAGAATGCTGCATTTCAGAGAAGCCCTGCAGGTGACTTCACTGGAATCGTACGGCTTGACCTGAGTGCTGTTTTCATATTATATGAACTGCAATATTTTGAAAAGACTCTGGGTAATGACCATGGGTCACTGACTTGCTCTAGAGCTACCAAGGTCATCTTTGCAGGAGCCAAGATAGGTTAGGGGAGGAAACCATGATGGATCAATATGGAGGTAGTTTGAAGGTTAGTTTGGAGATCTCCTTCTTGGGAACTTGGTCTTGTGTGGTCCAACTTAGCTGAACCAGTGCAGAGTTTGTAATTTGCCCATGATATTAGTGTGTGTTGGGATGGAAAAGTTTCCTGGAAGAGGGAATAAGCCTAAGAGATGACACCAAAGCCTAGCTGAGTCTAAGAGCCTTGTATTCAGTAGGCAGATCCCAGTAACTCCTTATGCAGCTGAAAAGGTATAGTAACACAGCAATTCTTTCCCTGGTGTGTGTGTGAGTGTGTGTGTGTGTGTGTGTGTGTGTGTCTATGTGTCTATGTGTGTTTGGCTTTGTGTTTCTCTGTGTGTGCATGTGTTGTGTTTCCATGTGTGGTAAATTGGTGGTCATCTCTGTGTGAATGTGTGACTGTGAGTAAGCTTATGTGTGTGCTTGTAATTGTGTGTGTTTTTATGTATGTGTGTTAATAGTTGTGTACTTACGCATGTGTGCATGCCCTTATTTGCACATTACCCTCCCTATCCATGTTGTGTGTGTGTACATGTGCCCAGATATGGGTCAGTGCTTGCTGCTGTGTTGCATGTATGTGTAGGAGTGAGTACTTGTTTAGGTGTTTGTGCCGGGTCCGTGTATGTGCAAGTGTATGTGTTTGTATGTACATGTTTGAATTTGTGTGTGTGTTTCTGCATATGGAACATCTTAAATGATGATAGAGACCTTCTTCAATGAGAAACTATCATGTTGACTGGCCCTGCAGACATCAAACAACACATATTGCTACCTGTTATTCTGCATTCCCACCTAGCTGCCTAGAACAAAGGACACAAAATCTGCTGTAACCCATAGACATTCAGGTGTTTGTAGAGGCAAAAATACTTATCTGCAAAGAAATCCTTTAAAGTTAAACAAAGGAAGGAGCTATATGGAGGTGAGAAGGCTGCTTTGGAAAACAAGGTGCTTGAGAGTCAGGGAAGGCTGGAGAAGGGTCTGTGTCCCTTCTGTGCTCTTGGTGAATAGTTGCTGTTCACTAGACAGTTGTGTAGCTTACTGTGTCTTGTTTCCTGTTTTACTGTCATCATTGCCTGCAACCATTTTCTTTCCTCTTTAACCAAATGTGGCTCTGTATACTAAGGCCTTGGAGCTTGGCCTGAACCTAAGCTTTAGACAAGCAGGTGAAGGGAATTATGAGTTAGTAAGAGTGAGGAGTTTTTGTCTCCATTAAGACCAGGAGAATTAGGGCCTAGATACATAGCTCAGACAGTAAAGTGAGCCCTACTTTGATTCCCCAGAACTCATGTAAAAGCCAGACACAGTGACATGTGCCTGCAATTTCACTGCTGAGGAAGCTGAAACCAAATAATCCCTGTGACTTAAAGGCCATTCAGTCTAGTCAAATCATAAAAAGCCCTTCTGTATACCAAAGACAAAAGGGCTGATAAAGAAATAGGGAAACAACACCTTTCACAACAGCCATAATATAAAGTACTTTGGTGTGACTCTAACCAAGCAAAACAGAACTCCTCACTCTTACTAATTCAGAATTCCCTTCACCTGCTTGTCTAAAGCTTGGGTACTGGCTTAAATCCCTTCTTCCAGGAAGACTGTATACGTCAACTTCAGCATATCTGCTTTTATGGAGGTGTCTTGTGACATACAAACTTTGATGGAAAAGACCTGTCCTCTCAGCTTCTATATCTCCAGGGAACTCCTGGGATATAGAGGCGGTAGATCAAGATGATTGGTACCCATTAGCACCAACACAGTTCTTAAAACAGCTTTAACAAGGACAGTAATTAATGAAAAATTAGTGAAGATCCTTATTTTGTCGTAATTTTTTAGAGGTATGCATTCTGCCATTGCCATTTCCCCAAGGAGAGAATCTTTTTTTTTTTTTCTTTTTAGTTACATTTTGTTAACTCTGTGTCCCAGCTGTATCCCGCTCCCTCATTCCCTCCCCAACCCCACACTCCCTCCCTGGTCTCCTCCCTGCCCCTTTCCAAGTCACCTGATAGAGGATCTGACCCTGTTTTATCAGGTATCTTCAGGGCTGGCTGCAAAGTCCTCCTCTGTGGCCTAACAGACTGCTCCTCCCCTGGGGGGGGGTGAGAGAATCTTTTCAATCATCAATAATTATATTCAAGTAACCATAGGAATGAGAATATTTCTACCATGCAAAAGTCAAGGCAGGGAGAAGAGTATAATGAAGAGGCATCTGAGCCTTTAAGATAAGGAGAGAACTTGAGAACTTCTGGGTTAAGTGATGACTGGCAACAGCTCACAGAGCAGCCTCTCTCAAACTCTCCCTAAAATAGAGATGAGAACACAGGGGAAACATGAACATACTGCATGGTAAGTAGAGTCACACAGACTAAGGCTAAAATTTGAGAAAAATACGTTCTCATTTTGATGTAGATAAAGATGACTAGAGGAAATTCTACTAAGGCTTCCATCAAAGACTTGAATATGAAAAAATGACATCTTCTAAAATATGAGGGAAGGAAGGAAGGTCTTCGCCACCATTTGCTACTAGTTTCAGAGACCTGAAGACCTGAATATAATCAGAAATCCAGGAAATAATCCAAATTTTTCTACAGCATAAGGTCCTCAGTAAGACAGTCGGAACACTGATCCAGTGTTCCTTCATCCACACAGACATTCTTTTTTTTTTTGAATTTTATTTTTTCTTACAGTTACATTTTATTAACTCTGTATCCCAGCCGTGTCTGGATCGCTCATTCCCTCCCAGTCCCTCCCTCCTTAACATAAAGAAAAAAATGCAAACTTTGAGAAAACATTGAAGCCAAACTGTGGGCAATTAAGAATGTAAATGAAGTATCCATGAGGTAGGGGCTGCCAATGAGGGCCAGGACTCTAACTAAACAAGCTATCAAAATAAAATTTAATTCTAGTTTTTAAAATGGAAGAGCCTATTACTTTACTATACAAGATTCTCGGTGCAATTAACTTATTAGTAGAAATACCAGATGAAATGTTGAAATAATCATCTTGTTAGTTTGCATAAACTCAGAAAAAGATTTGAGGATCAGCGACTAGAGAAATGGCTCAACAGTTAAGACCACTGGCTACTCCTCCAGAGGACCAACATTTCTAGTAATAGCACCATATGGTGGCTAAGAACTGTCTACTACTCCAGGTTCAGGGGTTCTGAAATCCTCTTTTGGCATCTACAGCATTTCCTGCATGTGATGCACAGACATAGTGCAGTTTACATATTATACCACAAAGAAGTGTGATACCATCCATTGACCAACTCAGAGCAGGTGTGAAGGAACCTGATTGGCCACACAAAGCCATATAACCTGCTGTCTGTTTCTGAATAGTCAAGTTCCCTGTGGTGACTCAGCTCTGCTCACCCCCTCGGCCTGAACCCCCTACCCTCACCCACAGGCTGGACCCTCTGGCTGGGAAGATTAAGAAGAACCACACTGTTGTCACCTCAAATTTCTTCTCTTTTTGTAATTTGCAAAGCACAGAATGGGACAGTACAAGAATAGAAGCTTATTCACTTAGCCCAGTCGTGGTGAGTGAGAGGACTGCCATTAGGGAGTGCTCACCTCCTAATGGTCTTCTCTGTTCTTTTTAAAAATTATTTATTTCTATTAATTACACTTTATTCACTTTGTATCCCCCCATAAACCCCTCCTTTCTCCCCTCCCAGTCCCACCCTCTCATCCCCTTCTTCACGCATGCCTCTCTCCCCAAGTCCACTGATAGGGGAGGTCTTCTTTTCTTTCATTCTGATCCGAGTCTATTAGGTCTCATCAGGACTGGCTGCAGTATCTTCTTCTGTGGCCTGGTAATGCTGCCTCCCCCTCAGGGAGGAGGTAATTAAAGAGCAGGCCAATCAGTTCATGTCAGAGACAGTCCCTGTTCCTATTACAATGCAACCCACTTATATACTAAACTGCCATGGTCTACATCTGTGCAGGGGTCTTAGGTTATCTCCATGCATAGTCCTTGGTTGGAATATCAGTCTCAGCAAAGACCCCTGTGTTCAGATTTTGGTTCTGTTGCTCTCCTTGTGCAGTTCCTGTCCTCTCCAGATCTTACTGTTTCCCACTTCTTTCCTAAGATTCCCTGCACTCTGCCCAGTGGTTGCCCATAAATCTCAGCATCTGCCTTCATAGTCTGCAGGGTAGAGTCTTTCAGAAGTCCTCTGTGTCAGGCTCCTGACTTGTTCCCTCTTTTCTCCTTCTTCTGATGTCCAGCCTCATTGCCTTTCTGGATAAGAATTGATCATTTTAGCAAGAGTCCTCCCTATTGATGAGTTTCTTTAGGTGTACAGATTTTAGTAGTTTTATCTTATATTATATGTCTATATGAGTGAGTATATACCGTGTGCATCTTTCTGCTTCTGGGATAGCTCACTCAGGATGATCTTTTCCAGATTCCACCGTTTACCTGCGAATTTCATGATTTCCTTGTTTTTTTTTTTATTGCTGAGTAATATTCCATTGTGTAGATATACCACAATTTGTGTATCCATTCCTCCACTGAGGGGCATCTGGGCTTTTTTTTTACTTGGAATTTAAGGTCTGTCTCTGG